ATTTATCAAATTCATTGCAATTAATATTGTACCCACTGTTTAATGAAATCGCTGATGATAATTTAGTAAAAGTACGTATGAACCAGTCACCTTCCAAGTTCTAATTTCTAATCTGTATGAAATGTGAAGCAAACACACTAAAAACCGAATGTATGCATGGAGAACAGACAAACCAAACTTAAAACGTTCTAGCTCTACCGTTCATCTGTAAAATTTTTGCTCTGCATAAATAACATTCCATTCCAGATGATTCCTTCAAATTCCCATCAAAGAATTACAGACTTACAACATGTATTAATAATTCAAATAAAGTTTTAGGAAAACGAAGACCTTACACCTTGCCATCCACCACTGTGAAATAAAGAGAAAAGTTAACACTTACACATTTTGAGGTATATGGCTGAAGGGAACTTATTTGGTTTGAAATATATATTTTTCTTCGGCTCTTATAAGAGCGGCATTTTCATGCACCCATTGTAATCTAATCGGCCTACAAAATCGTATAGATGATGGTGTGGGGTTCTTCCACAATACAATATTATTATCATTGTCTTCTAATCGTAATGGGACTAGGAAGACACAAATAGTGAATCATCTTTTCCCTGTGCATTTGTGATGAACTTTTGTTTATAAGTCGAATGACATCCGCTACCATCAAACCCCCACGTACAATGTAATATAGAATTTACATTTACATTTGGATAATTATCCAAACATTTAAAAATTTTTTTTTAAATATCATTTAATAAAACTGGTTCGAAGTGTTTTTGAAGAAGGTTGCAACATGGCATCCGAAACGTCAAACCTTTTTTTCAATTTTCTGAACACCGCGTATAAAATATGTTAAATGTTTCTATCATAATCTAACTCTAAGAACTAGCAAAATTTTTTATCAAGACAACTTTTTTCGATAAAATTAAAAATAAAAAAGTTTTTCCTATTCAACACCTTTTCCGTGGACATACTGTACAATAGATTTATTGCAATAAAAACACAATATTTAGAAAGATCTGTGATGCGTGGTGTATANATATAAACCAACGAAAGCACCTGGGGTTGTATTAATTCATTGCTTACTGTATCAATATAGACATGCAAGTAGCCACACAGGACGTGCTAATCTCTATGCCAAATTAAATGAGAAGTGTCATTCAGAATGGAGATGGCAATACGCATTATTGACATATTTCTAAATTCTCCAATTTTTGCTTAGATTCCGTTTGTATCTCATGACAACGTCGGACGATATGCGACAAAATTACTGAATCAATATACAGTATGTCCACGGAAAAGGTGTTGAATAGGAAAAACTTTTTTATTTTATCGAAAAAACTTAATCTTGATAAAAAGTTTTGCTAGTTCTTAGAGTAAGATTGGGATAGAAACATTTAACCTATTTTATACGCGGTGTTCAGAAAATTGAGAAAACTTTAAATGGTACAAGAGTAAAGTGCATTTATTTGAGAAGATATGGAAATAAGTTATTACTAAAAGTTTAATACCAATTTTCGAAAAAATCGCCCAATTTTTATTTATTTGTGATCATTTTTATACTAGCAGGCGTTGATAGTGACAAGCTTTATTGACACTTCGCTTGTATACTTTATTAACACTTACTTTACAGCAAAATATTTACTTGGTGCAACGTTATGGGAAAGGCGAAAAATGTTATCGTCGAGTTATTCAGGAATTTAATGAAAAATTCCCCAATGTGTACGTTTCTGAGACTACTTGCCGTAAAGTAATTTTGAAGTTTTTAAGCACTGGATCATTGTTGCGAATACCTAGAGAAAAGAAGATATACGATGAAAATGATGCAAGGCACTTTGTTGGTATTACATTCAGTAGAGGAACACCCGAAATTATCATTAAGAAGAAGAGCTGAAAATCTCCAATTTGTTAAAAAGTCGCAAATACAGAAGATATTAAAACACAACAAGATACATCCATACAGCCAGTTTTTAATCATGTTTTGGAAGTCGGCGATGAAGCAAAACGTTTGGATTTTTGTTTGTGGGTTGGCAGTATGGAAAGAGGATTTCATAAAAAAATAATGTTTTCTGATGAATCAACTTTTTCGACCAATGGTGTTGTGGCTTCGCAACATGGATCGAATACCACGGAGGCGTCAGTACTGTGTTAAAGTAAATGTGTGGTGCGCCATTTCTTATTACGGAATAATAGGGCCATACTTCTTTGACACTACTTGTAATGCGAATAGTTATTTAGCTATGTTAAGAAATTTCCTCGATGGTGAATTAGACAATCTTCCATTAGAATACAGTCGTTCATTTTATTTTCCACAAGATGGATGCCCAGCACATTATGCGGCAACGGTTCGACAATGGTTAGACCATACGTTTCCAGACCACTGGATTGGGAGACAAGGACCAGTTCAGTGGCCTCCTAGGAGTCCAGATTTAGCATTAATGGATTTTTTCCTATATCGGGCTGATTGAAACAAATTGTTTATTGCACACCTCAAATGAATGCCACTACTGATCAATTAAAGGATGCGATATCAATATCTTTACATGAGGTTAGAAAAAGTTTTGATGAATTACTTGTTCGTTTAAAGGCATGTGCCCAACAGGGTGGTAGTGTATTTGAGTCAATAAATTTACAACTTGTGCATTGTTAATTTAGAATTAGTTAATTGATATTAAAATAAATTTAATGATCACAAATAAATAAAAGTACGCCGATTTTTTCTAAAATTGGTATTAGAGAGTACTTTTGAACAACTTTTCCTAGTAACTTATTTCCTTATCTTCTCAAATAAATGCACTTTACTTTTGTACCATTTAAGGTTTTTTCAATTTTCTGAACACCGCGTATAAAATATGTTAAATGTTTCTATCCCAATCTTACTCTAAGAACTAGCAATTTTTTTTATCAAGATTAACTTTTTTCGATAAAATTAAAAATAAAAAAGTTTTTCCTATTCAACACCTTTTCCGTGGACATACTGTACAATAGATTTATTGCAATAAAAACACAATATTTAGAAAGATCTGTGATGCGTGGTGTATATGGTCGGACGATTCAACTAATCTAGAACAACACCGGAACGCAAATAGAGCTTGTTATCTTGTTAAGTTATTTGCTTGTATATTGACCATAAACTTAATATTTAAAGTTATGGGAAATTACCTACTAGAAAAATTTCTAATTTATTCAGATTATCGACGAACTCAACTTTGCCGTTTTATCGCTTTTATGTAAATTTTCTTTGCCTACAGCACGTTTTTAGCTTATTGCTGTTACTAGAAAATTGGCGATATGGCACGTGAAACAAAAACATGTATTTATGTTTATATACAGTGTGGCCCATTTATAGCTTAGCAAATTCTTTCTTCACCGGCGAAGATTAGATACATCAGGTTAGATAACGAATTGAATTTTGACAGTTAATGTTAAACAGTAAGAAATTTCTGAACGAACAACTATTGCTTAATTTTTCGGTCAACAGTGTGTTAGTCGAATACCATAACATGCAAGAAAATGTCCTGTATGTACAACCCATTAGTCTGAAATGACGGAGTGGTTACTACATCGAAACAACTTCAATATTTCAAACAATATGATGACCCGAAATTGGTCAAGTCAGTGTAGTGCGTCGGCCACAAGCAACTTCACCTTAATCAGATAAAGTCATGGACCTTATCGTTTCTACAGTTAATATTATATCAACCCGAAATTGGTCAAAATAATGTAACGCCTCGGCTTGATCAGATAAACGTGGACCCTATCTAATATTAGCCGAGGTCGCTTGCGGTCGAGGCTCTAAAGTTATTATCAAATCAATCCGAAATTGGTCAAGTCAATGTAGCGCTTCGGCTGTAAGCGACCTTGGCTTGATCAAAAGAAGTCGTGAACACAATCTTAAACTTGAGATTTAACTAATATTTAAAAATTCATATTAATGAGAAAACAAATAGTCATATTTTTTCCGAATCATATTAAAAAGATAATAAAACTTAACGTTTTTGTCCCCACCTTGTGACATTTTAACAGTTTTACCACTACTTCTATATACAGTGCTTCCTAAAAGTAAAGCATAAATCTGTTAAAACAAATAAAAACGATTTATAGAAAAATCGGTGTGATGGGTCTAAGCATTTAAATTTTTTGGTATAGATTTTAAATTTTTTCCGCCATTTTTAAACTAGTTATGACGTCATCGCTATTTTCTTTTCAAATAGCAATCCCCCATTTTTATTACGGAATATGAAAGAGGGTTTTTTTTCTGAATTTGGTACAGCCAAAATTAATATCAGTTACATAAGAAAATATTCGAGAAAAATTGCCTTAAAATTTCATGATTTTTCATACATTTGAGGTAGACAAATAGCAGTAGCCATGCGTAACCATGGCAACCAGTTGTTTTAAATATTTGATATCTGAAACAGTTGGTTGCCATGGTTACGCATAGGTACTGCTATTTTTCTATCTCAAATGTAACTAAATATTCTTATGTAACCAATATTAATATTAACTGTACTAGATTCAGAAAAAAGTCCTCTTTCATACTACATAATAGAAATATGCCCCATTTCTATTTGAACAAAATATCGATGACGTCATTACTCGTTTAAAAATGATGGAAAAAATTTAAATCTTTAGACCCATCTCTGCGATTTTACAATAAACTGTTCTTGATTATTTTAATGAATTTATCCGTTATTTTTGGGAAACCCTGTATACGCCAAATAATTTGCGCACCATTTCTTCTTCTTATGAATCTGCAGCGAAAAGATATTGCTTAACCAATTTCTCAATTTTTATTTCAGCAAAGTTTAATCACGGTTTAACAAACCTTTTTTTCAGCTTATTTCTTTATTCTATTTCAGATTTTAGGACGAACTAGAATTTCAACCTAGGATAAATTTTTACAAAAAAAAATTATATCCAATATAAAAATATAAAAACTAGCTTTAAAATAAAAATGTGTATATTAAAAGCATTGCTAACCATCACTTCTACATAATAATTTACAGGTGAAAAAGGATTTCTTATCGCTTCTTCGCGAGAACTCCGATATTGACCGACATGCCCGTTGGTCGGATGTGAAGAAAAAATTGGATACTGATCCGCGTTACAAAGCGGTCGACTCAAGCGGCCAACGCGAAGACTGGTTCCGCGAATATTGCAAGATCCTAAAAGATGAGAAGAAACGAGCTAAAGAAAAAGATAAGGAGCATAAAAAAGAAAAGGACAAAGAGAAACATAAAAAAAGCAAGGACAAAGACAAGGATAAAGAGAAAGATAAAGACAGTAAAGAGGAAAAGCATAAGGAAAAAAGCGAAAGAAAGAAAAGAGATAGCAGCGGAAGTCGATCAGAAAAAGAAAAATCTAAAACAGAAGAAGAAGAAGATGACAATGTTAGTACAAGAAAAGCTGAAGGAGGCGGGGATGAAGATGTCGAAATGGAACCAAGTACTTCCGACGATGAACGTGCTCAGGAACAGAAAGAAAAGGATAGACAAGCGAGAGCCGAGGCAAGTTTAAGGGAAAGAGAAAAAGAGGTACAAAGAACTTTAGCGACACATATGAGAGACAGAGATAAAGAAAGGGAGCAACACAAACGAGATGAGGCAATTCAACATTTTAATGCACTTTTGGCCGATTTAGTTAGAAATGCAGATTTGGGTTGGAGGGAGGTAAAGAGGATTTTAAGAAAGGATCATCGATGGGATTTGGCGGAGTCGCTTCAACGGGATGAAAAAGAGAAGTTATTTAACGACCATATTGAGTCGTTGTTAAGAAAGAAACGGGAGAAGTTTAGAGAGTTATTGGACGAAACTCCCAGTGTTTCTTTGACGAGTAATTGGAAGGAAATTAAGAAGATTATTAGAGAGGATCCTAGATATACAAAGTTTGCTTCTAGCGAAAGGGTAATTTCTTTTTGTTGAAATTAATACCTAAATCCATCTTAGTAATGTTTCTTTTAAATTAATTTGAATTGATTTCTTTTTTAGTGTGAAAGGGAATTTAAAGATTACTTACGAGACAAATTGATGACTGCAAAAACGCAATTTAAAGAATTACTTCAGGTAAGAAAAGATAAAATAAATATTAAATTGTTATTAATTTTTGTATTGATGTTGTTTAGGAAACAAAGTTGATTACACATAAAAGTTTAACGACTGTTCGTGAAAATCAAGGCCACATGCAAGAGATTGAAGAGATTTTAAAGAATGATAAGCGTTATTTGGTGCTCGATCACATTCCTCAAGAGCGCACTCAGCTTATTCTTAATTACTTAGAAGAATTGGACAGAAGGGGACCTCCACCGCCTCCAACAGCTAGCGAACCTTCTAGAAGGTCCACAAAATAGATTTACTATATTTTAAATGAAAAAAAAATTAATAAATAATGTAAAAAAGAATTAAGCAAGGACGGAAAGAGAAGATATTCAGTAGAATTTAAAATTTATTAAATTGACGGGACTATTTAGTTTATTATGATGATGTGTAAGATAAGAGATAAATGTAAAATGTTTTCTTAATTTTTTGCAATTAAATTTTTTTCCGTATACATGTGTTTGATTATGACGCTTAGAACGTCTCTTTCCAGTTTTATTAAGGGGTAATACTACCTCGTAATTTTTTTTATTGGCTTAAATGCTTCCTTGATTATTCAACAATGATATCCAAAAGTTTTTATGCGGAGGAAAATTTTTTAAATGGTCCAAAAAGATCGATTTTTTTGAGTAGTCACCATGCCGATTTGCAGCGTCTACAGCCGAGAAGCATACAGTCGTAACTCCATATGCTCCATATTTTGCGAAGGTAATATTAACTCCATACAAGTAAAAAGTGAAGTTACGACTGTTTTATACCAGTGACCATTAGACCGCCGCACTATGGAAAATTTGAGACGTTTGCTGATCATAAATGAGTTTTCCGAAAGTCGTGATTTATTTTTTCTTTAATTGAATCCTAGAGTAAAAATGTCAAATTTTAATAATTAACATAAGTTTTATTGTTATATATATATATGCTATGGTTTTCTCCGTGTTCATCATGTATTTTAATTAGAGTGGTAGAAAATAAAAATATTTTACTTCTATTTAGATGAAAATGTTTATTTACTTATGTTTTCGGTGCTTGTAGTGTTATACGAACTTATCGTATTTCGAATATAAATTATTCGTCCTCAGGCACGACTACAAAACATCAAACATATAAACTAGGTGAGTGTCTTAATTAAACATTATAATACATTGAACAAAACTTATTTCACAGGACATATTAAAAATTAAAGGTTAAAACTAACTAAATACTATTAAAACTATTACTATTAAAACGTAAAGTTCCATTGAATGGCTTACAGAGAGTAGACGTGTCGAACCTCGTTCCGTGTGAAATTTATTAATTATCGGTTCAAAATGAGATTATCTGCCGAAGATCTCCGCCAGATCAAACAGATTGTAAAAGAATCTGTGATCGAAATTGTAGAAAGTAAGGCTTTTTGTGAAAAAGTGGCTAGTTTAATACATCAAGAAGTAAAAGATCTTAAAGACCAAATTTTCCGTCTCGAAAAGGATAACCAGTTCTTACAACAAAAAATGAACGATTTAGAGCAATACCAGCGCCGTACCAGTTTACGTGTGTTTGGGGTTGTTGAAGATAAAAACGAAAATGTGGAGGAGAAAGTATTGAAGATATTCAAGGAAAAAATGAACGTGGATGTGTCGCCGGACTGTGTGGATCGCTGTCACCGTGTCGGTCGGAACTCTGATAGTGCTAAAATCCGCCCCATTATAATCAAGTTTACAAGTTACAAACACCGCGACCGAGTTTTTAGAAATAAATCCAAGTTAAAAAAAACTCGAATCGTCATTAGTGAAGATCTTACGGTGAAGAACCACAGGCTTCTTAATTTAGCTCGAGAAACATATGGAAAAACAAATGTCTGGAGTAATGACGGTAGGATTTTTATAAAGCATAATGATACAGTTGTGTATGTTAAGTCAGAATCTGATTGTATAAATTTGAAAAACGATAATCGAAGCGTAGCATTGGAGTAATTCTGTTTATTTTATATTAAAATACTTATCTACAAACAAATTTTAATTGGCGGGCAGCTGTTTGCAATTGTCATGTTTCACTTTGGGTTGAAATGTCTTATAATTTAATGCTACACGGAGAGGTACATGACAACGTCAACACGAATCCTTAATTTTTTTTATTTTTTTTTCACTAAATAGTATTATAATTGTTTACTTTTTTTTTATTTATTTACTGTTGTATACTTTTTCGAGTGCGGGAAGTTAGCCCCCCATTTTTTGATTTTTAAATTTTTTATTGTTGTTCTAGATTGTTCTAGAGTTGTTCTACATTGTTCCAAAGCGGCAAATCGAAAAAATAAAAACTCCGCGAGAAAACCGAAAAAACAGGTTTTTTGACTAGCCCCCCATTTTTGGAAAAATCAAATTTTCTTTGTTGTTCTGGGTTGTTCTAGTTGTTCTAGTTATTGTTCTAGAAAATCAAAATTATGGGATACAGCATTACGAAGTTATAACTAAAAATAGGTTTGGCCGCCGAAATGTCTAGTTGATTGCTGTGACCATAGTTTTTCTATTATCAATTCCATATTACAAATATATACTTATTATAGCTAACGCAATCTGGAACAGCTATTATTTTCACTAGAACAACTCTCTAAAGGGCACTTTACTCTTTGAAAATTAAAGTTTTTGGAAGTTTCAGTCAGTAATTCTTGTGTCAGCGGTTTTATATTACACAATAAGAATTAAAAAACATAGAACAATCTAAAATAACTCAAACTTTGCCGATTCAAATTGTTCTAGATGTGTTTTACGTTTAACACGGACATTAATTTTGCAAAATCACATATTTTTTGTTGCTCTAAATTGTTCTTGTTGTTCTAGGTACTTAAAATGTTTATTTAATCACTGCGGCTTTAGTTCTTTTAAAGTTTCATATTAAAAATTAGTACTTACAACAATTAAAACAATTCAGAACAGCTGTTATTTTCACTAGAAAAACCTTAAATTTGAGTTGTTGTGATATCGGACAGGTTTTGTTGAATCAGTGAACCCAACCTTTAATATAATAATAGTTTTAAAAAATTAAAAAATATGGAATAATCTGACCATCTAATTTCCTAAAAATCACCTTTCTCTTTAAACTTATAATAATAAAACATAAGTTGCGATTTAAAGTGTATTTTATTTTGTAAAACAAAGTAATAAATTAATAAATAAACTAAACTAACAAAAGTAGGTTGGGCTGCCAAAATATATAGTTGATTGCTGTGACCATAGTTTTTCTATTTTCAGTTCCATATCACAAATATATACTTATTATACCTAAGCAATCTGGTAGTATTTTGCTAATATTTTCACTAGAACAACTCTATAAAGAACACTTTACTTTTTAAAAATTAAAATTTTTGGAAGTTTCAGTTAGTAATTCTTTCATAAGTTCATAAGTAAGTTTCATTAAAATCTATTTCAATAAATGAAATTGCGGATTCGACAGTATATTTCATAGTTTAGCATTTGCCCGTACACACCGTTTAGAAATCATGTTGAGAATGTTTGCACGGATTGCTTTAGTTTCCTAAAATTATTTTTAAAAACCGGTTCTAGTAAAGCAACATATAAAAAAGGAGCTGAACTATTAATAGGAATAAATTATTTTGGAAGCCAGAATATTGCTGGCGTGATAATAGTGAATGCTATTTCAAATATTGCGTTTCTTTGCACACAACTATTTAAAGATGAATTTAGTTATTGTAGGACTAAAAACTGCAATAATTGTTTAAACGTTACTTTCCATAAAAACATAATTTTACCAATCCACATTGACATCGTAACAATATTTGGCTATGCACAGCTAAAGCAAGTAATAGAAAACTACATGCAAACTCTAAGCAACAATTGCAAGAAAATGTGGTCTGTTTATAGAAACAACGAATAGAGAGAACAATAAAACAAAATTGAGTGATTACGCACGCAATTTGTCTTTGTCATGTCAATTTGAAATGTTTGAATGAGGTAGGGCACTCACTACCCGGCATTTGTGCCCAACAATGCCAATTGGATATTATTTAATGACTTACGAAAAAAATCCGTACAAGTTGAAAAAGCTACTTAAATAAATGCACAAATGTGCATATATGTTTATAAATGATCAAAGTATGTAACCGTATTATTCCGATGATATTAGTTATTTACATAACTTAGTTTATTTAGTTATAGTTTACCTTAGAATAAATTATTGTACTGATATAGTAATACTGATCGAATAGATATTGTTTTATTTGTTAGTTTAGTTTATTTATTAATTTATTACTTAGTTTATACAAAATAAAATACACTTTAAATCGCATCNTTTAATAAACACGCCGATGGACTTATTGATAAACTCAAGGATGAAATAGATAACGAATCAACCGAGGTTGTCCACATTTTGGAGGATTTCACCTTTGACCAAACTGTTGGTGCGTTTTTTTAATTTATTACTCCCTCTGTTCCAAATTATGGTATACAAAACTTTGGAAATGTTTGTATTTGTAAAATTAGTAATTCAGTTTGTAATTTAATTTAAACATACATTAATGAAAATTTTACACATTTAAATACAATTCAGCTGGTTCAATATAAACGCCCTTCATGGCGAAGCTTTTCATTATTCATGAATTTTCATATTTTTCTCGATATCTATGCGTCTGATAAGGGAAGTATCAGAACTGCCCCTTACCGATTTTGTTGAAATTTGGTACTGCGATAGTATGGCCAAAAATAAGGTTTACGTATTTTTTTATACGTGTTAATAAAGTCCCTGGGGCAAGTTATAAGGGTTGGAAATCGAGGCGAAATATATTTATTCGCTTATAGGCTGAAAACAAAAATAGCTATCGAAATGTGGTAAATGTAAACTGATATTCATTTTCAAAGAGCTTCCCACTGATATATCACACATACAGGGTGTATCTGAATGACTGCAACAAACTTCAAGGGGTGATTCTTTAGTGAATTTTAAGGGTACTTTGATATATGAACCATGGGCGACTTCGGCTCCCCTAAGGAGCTACCCCTCCAAAAATGGCGGAAAATTTTGGTTTAATTTTTTTTTTCTCAAAAAAAAAATGAAATTTTGGGAATATGTTTAACTCATAATAGGACACGTTTTGACCCTATTTGTACTTTCATCCTACCCTTATAAACTACTAAACGTAACCAACCCCTTTACATTTTTGCTAAAATTTTTTGTACGCAGATGATAGATACATTAAAAAAATTTTATCTAGGTAGATGGAAGTATCCTAAAACTTTTTTGTCTCTTTAAAATTTTTCAAAAAACGATTAATTTTTGAGAAAAAAAATAATAAAGCACGTTAAGCAACGGGGTTGTCGATCAAAAGTTGGAATGAAAGTTTAAGGAAAAAATCTTAGTAGGCTTTGCAATCTTTGTCAGAAATATTTTTGACGTTTAAATGTCAGTGTTTTTCTTATTATTATTATTATTTTTCAAATTAATTTTTAAATAAAGTTCTATCGTATTTACGCTCGTTCACTCGACGTTTCAAAATTTCAAATAAAACAATAATAATAGTACGAAAACCACTGACATTTAAACGTCAAAAATATTTCTGACAAAGATTGCAAAGCCTACTAAGATTTTTTCATTAAAAATTCATTCCAACTTTCGTATAACAACCCACAGCTTAGCAGTTAGTGTTTGCTTAATTATTTTTTTTCTCAGAAATTATTAATTTTTCGCAGAACATCAGAGAGACAAAAAATGTTTAGGATACTTTCATCTACCTATGTAAATTTTTTTTAAATGTATTTACCATCTGCATAAAAAAATCTAGGCATAAATTGAACGGGGGTGGTTACGTTTAGTAGTTTAGAAGGGTAGGTTGAAAGTACAAATAGGGTCAAAACGTGCCCTATTATGAGTTAAACATATTCCCCAAATTTCATTTTCCTAGCATTTATGGTTTTTGAGAAAAAACAATTAAACCAAAATTTTCCGCCATTTTTGGAGGGGTGTAGCTCCTTAGGGGAGCCGAAGTCGCCCATGGTTCATATATGAAAGTACCCTTAAAATTCACTAAAGAATCACCCCTTGAAGTTTGTTGCAGTCATTCAGATACACCCTGTATATAGTCAAAATATTTTACCAAAATATCAGTCAGGGTTTCGCAATGGATACTCTTGCGAAACTGCACTTACAAATGTCATTGATGACATACATATGGCGTCTGATTTAGGACTTGTTACTATACTAATAACTTTAGATTATAGCAAAGCATTCGATACCGTTAACCATAGAATGATGACTGCTATTCTTCATTACGTCGGATTTAATAACAATTCTGTTAAATTAATTGAAAGTTACTTAAAGGGTAGAACTCAGAGGGTGAGGATCGCTGAATGTATTTCGGAGCATGGAGGTGTTGCATCTGGTGTGCCACAGGTTCTTGGGCCGCATTTGTTTTCAATATATACTTCCTCTTTACCTGATTGTTTATCGACTTGTAAATACCATCTATACGCGGATGATACACTTATCTATCACTCATTTCCCTTACAAGAGGCCCAAGACGCTCTTAAGCTTATAAACAATGACCTTGATCGTCTAGCTAATCTGTCTGAATCGCATTCATTAGGTTTGAATCCGAATAAATCTTCGGCTATAATTTTTGGTAATGCAAAAGTTCGGAAGTCATTCAACAGTAGTGACAATATGTCGATCATGATAAGTGGTACAAACATAGCATTCGTAAATAAAGTAAAAATTTTAGGTCTTGTGGTTGACAGTGATTTACGTTTCACCGATCACGTTAATACCTTGGTTAGACGATCATACGGTAAATTAAAAATGCTTTACCCCAATAGACATTTGTTGAATAAAGATGCCAAGTTGATTCTGTGTGATTCTTTGGTTCTTTCATCATTTAATCATTGTGATCTTGTTTATGGGCCTTGTTTGATGATGAATGATGTGCAGAGAATAGAGAGGGTCCAGAAGTCCTGTCTCAGGTACATTTATGGTATACGCCGTCATGAAAGAATATCGTATAAGCTGGCTTGTGCAAATTGGTTGAATATGACGGACCGGCGTAAACTTCATATTGCTTGTCGAATGGTGTCTATTGTTTCGAATCATAAGCCACCTTATCTCTATGAAAGGATTACGTATAGAACCGATGTTCATCATTTGAATTTGACGCGTAAAAACTTAATTCGTATTCCCAAACATCGAACTCAAACTTTTAAGCATTGTTTTTCGTATATCATTGGATTGGTTCTCAACAATCTTCCTATTAACTATTCCGGTTACAGCATGCAAACATTAAAAAAAAATACAAAATCTATCTTGCCTCATTAGGTGCGAGGGCTGGCGCATGGCGGTGGCACTGACCAATAAGATTATGTGATCGAGATAATAATGTATTTTGTCTTACAGTTGTTGTATTGTGATGAAAAAGAATATTTAAATTTTAATTTGGAATTATAAATAATTTTATATATATTTTTTTTCCTTTTTGTTTTCATTGCTAAGGGGCTGCTATAAAACCAGCTTGCTGTGGTGTCCCTTTTGATACTCATTTACTTTTTTTTTCTTTTCTTTTTTTTGTACTACCTATTAAGTTTCATTTTCTTTTTTATTGTTTTTGAATGTTTTTGAGTGTTTTTCCTTTTTGAAAATTAGTTTACTTTTTTTTTCTTTGATTATGTTAAATTGATTCTGTAATTGAATATCAATAAATGGTTTATTATTATTATCCATGGAAGACAAAAGGAGATCCGTATACTCAATCATGTTCGTTTCTACAGACCGACCCTGAAAGAAGTATATATATTTTTTAACTGAAAAACACTCTAGTGTATATCAACTTTTCGAATACCTTATCAAACAACGGCAAGATGGAAATTGGGCGGTAATTAGCGGCCAAACTATGATCACCAGATTTGTGAACTGGAACAACGTTGGCACGCTTCCATGCCATGGGAAACACTCCAGCCTTTATGGACATATTAAAAATTATTTGAAGAGGTATGGAAAGAGCAGCAGCACAATTTATAATCAGAACTGATGGAATGCCATCAGAACCAGGACCCTTATCGGGCGACACTTGACTAAGTGCAAGTTCAACATCAGCGCTACTAAAAGTTCTGACGACAACAGTGCCAGCTGCAGAGCCAATCACCTCATCGGAGACAGGGATATAGGCAGTGGGTTGAGTAAAAACAGACGCAAAATAATTTGCAAATATTGAGCAAATACTATCCCCGTCAGTAGCCGTATCGTCATTATGATTTATTCGGGCGGGAATACCTGGCATCCCTTTGCGACGTCTAACATAAGCCCAGAACCGTTTAGAATCCGACACAACAGAAGCCTGTGTGCGATCAATGTAGTTCTTATAATCTATATCGATTAAAAATTTAGAACGACCCCGCAATAAAGAAAATGTTAAGTAATCTAACCGATTTCCATAACGCTTCCATTTCTTGTGCATACGGTTCTTTTCTCGGATAGTACGAATTGTTGATGCAGAGAACCAAATAGGATATTTATTTGTTTTATGATAATTTTGAGGCACAAACTTAAATTATTGATCCAAGCTGAGTGTAAAAGTAATCAACAGCAACACTGAGAATACCTACAACTCTGGTCAGAGTGGTTTTAATTTGGAATTTCATTCAGGAAGAACCTTAACCGATTTAGGTGTTAAAACCGTGGAAAGTGTGGTCCAGTCGGTGTTATCGACAACACATAGCTACACAATTCAACCCATCATATCTACAAATGGAAAGCTACTTTCTCCTCTTTTCATTGTTTTAAATGAATCCTCTGGTACCTTTGGACCGAGGGTAATAAATACAATGTTCAAAGCAGATAACATATTCGTTTTGGCATCAAAGTCTGGTAAACTGACTTCTGCTCATATAAAAATTGGCTACAAAATGTCTATTTCCCAAACACCGGACCCAAATCATTACTATTACTGGATTCTTGGAGTGGTCACTGCCCTGAAATTATTCGTGAAGTAACTCCATCGGATGTTAAGTTTAAATATTTCTCTATACCTGCAGGGACAACAGGTCAAATTCAACCCCTGGATGTATTTGGTTTTATAATATGGAAAAATTTCATTAGAAGACTTTCTGATCAAGCTATTTTCTACCAGTACGACGTCAATTTGCATCAGCGAGATAATATTTTAAAATTGCAATCCTTAACGCATAACCAGTTGTCTTCCCCACGATTTATTAATGTTTTTAAATACGCCTGGTTTGCATCTGGATATACAGGTGTACAAAAAGTATGGAATAATGGTTCTACAGCCTAAACTTCAACTTATATTAAAAAAAGTTTTAAATAAAAGTTTCTTGAAACTATTTTCCGCATATCTTGGTGTAGAAATAAAATAAAAATGATGACGGAAGTTTGAGTTATGACATGGTGAGTGTGTTTTTTAAA